GAAAATCTCCTCTTTAGAAAGCCGATTAAGATGTTTCCTTGAATGAACTCGAAGAGCATATTTCATATCAGGAATACAAAACGTTCCCTTAGAAGTTCTTTTCTTGGTTTCTTTTTCAGGTTTGAGCTTTCTGTGAGGCTTTGCTTTAACAACATTCACATCACATTCATAATTTTGGGGGTCTGGAACAGAATAACCATAAGCAATACTTGTATTATGAATAGAACGATGTCTAGAAGATGTCTCAGAAATATTCAGTTTGGGACTCAAGACTGAACTACTAGAAGTTTGTTTTGTAGAGACAGAATTACAATTAACTTTAGAGTAAAAAATAGAACTAGATCTAGGACTGGCATTATTCTCAAAAACTTTCTTTTTGCCTTCTGCGATTTCCTTCCTCTTTTTCCTCCACTCATTCTTCTCTTCTCCTTCCTTCTTCACTTCATTTCCTGTAAACAAAGGAGAAGAGAGATGAGTGGACGAACCTTTTAAAGCATTGTTTTTCTCATGTGAGGTGTGTGAGCTGTCAGGCTTAGTCGTAGAAGGGTCTGTTTTAGCATGATACTGCTCACTCAAATCATTGAACTTTTGAAGAAGTTCCTGCCAGTTGCGCTCAAAACCTTTCTTTTCAGTTTCAAATCTCTCTCTCTCTCGTTATCAAGAGTTTTCTGTAGGTTTTTGAGCTTTTGAGCCATGGGAAATATACAAGGTTCCTCACCAGTTTTAGCAATACCTACTCTTGGAGGAGGGTCTAGAGGATGTCCTATATGAGGAATATCTTTAGCATAAGGGTCAAGGCATTCACTAAAGCAGGAAGTAGATTTTTCTTGTGAAAGTTGTTTTTCATTAACAGAGGGATAATCACAAGAAATCGCAGATTTTGGATTCTTTCTCTTTTCTTCTTCTGCTTCAGCGTTTTCTTCATCACTTCGAAAATACATTTTCTCGCCAAACCCTAGTCCCATGTAATCTTTGTTATAGATTTGAAGACAGTTAACTTTCTTTAGATTATGTGGGTTGGTTATGCCCAGTCCTATTCTAGGATTGTAAAATCGGTCATCCTTTATCTTATTGAGAAAAATTGTCTGTTCAGACTGACCTCTTCTAGCAGCTAGATCCTCTATTTCTTTTATTTTATTTAAAAGTGTTCTTCTCTTGTTATGCAAAAAATCGCATTCAGCCTTTGCTGTGCTTTTTTCTCGTTCACTATCCTCAAATTTCCTAGTTAATTCAGATATCTTAAGTTCAAAGCTTTCAAAATCTGAGGACACCTTTTTGACCTGATCTTTTGCAATTTCAAGTTGAACACTTAAGGAAGACTTTTGGTCTAGATTCTGTTTCAGTACCCTGTGATTATTGTCTAGTCTCTCCTTTAGTTCTTTGATTAGATTGTCCTTCTCAAGTAAGGACTGCATTTGGTTATTTAAAGGAGTATGAGAGGTACTTACAGAACTTGTTGAGCATTCGGTTTCGGGGATCGCAGCATCACCCTTTCTTTCATCTTCCTCCACTCGTGCCATCAGGGCATAGTTGTCTTCCTCCTCCTCCTCCTCAGAAGAATCTTCTGCCCAGTTCTCATTCTCAGCAATCATTGCAGAAGTTTCTTCTTCTTTCTGCACCATCAGCATTTTCTGCTTATTCCACAGCATCTTCTGCTTGTAGAAATTAGCATCTTTCTTCTTTGGGAGGCGGCAGTCTTTGATGACATGTCCAGCCTTACCACAATTGTAGCATTTGGGAGCGTCTTCTGCTGATGGTGCCTTCCTAGAAGATCCTTGATCATGGTTCTTCTGTTTGTAGTTTGAGGAGGAGGTTCTCAGCTTGTTGGAGGAGCTGTTCTTCTTAGCAAATCTCTTGGCAAGCGGTGCCATCTTCTTCTGTAAGTCTGCTAGCTCAGCCTCTAGATCAGATTTGTCATCATCACTTTCATCATCATCTGATTCAACTACCACCTTCTTCTTTTTCTTCTTTAGTGATGTGGTTGTCCTTCTGGGCTGAGCCTCCATTACAAGAGCTAAGGGATTTGTGGTGTGATGATCCTCGGCACAGGCAACCTCGTTGACAAATTGCTTAAGATGTTCATAGAGAGTGCAGAGGTCAATTTCATCCAAGTCGATCCGAGATCTAACATCCTTCACAGTCTTTTCCCATGCAGGATGCAGGCTGGATAGAAATCTAATATTCAGTTCCAAGTTGGACCTGAATACTTTGATTTTTCTGAGTTCATTGACCAGTTGAACAAGTCTGTTGTAAGTCTCATTCAATGGTTCTCCTGGACCTGCTTTGAAGGAGTCATAAGCAATAAGAATTGTCGTCTTCTTTGTCTTAAGGCTAATGCTTGTGCCTTGAAGAAGTTTCTCTATTTCATCCCACATTTCCTTAGCTGTTTGCATGATGTCTATGAGAACGTATACTTCATTGGGGATTGCTTGAAGAAAGTATGTTTTGGCCATGAGATCACCACGAAGCCTGAGCCTGTCAGCTTCCGTGTATTCAGATGCCACTTTCCTCCTTATTTCTGGAAGAATAGGAGGGTTTTTTTCTGAATCACCGCCAACTGAAATCAAGAGTTCAGCTGGTCCTTCAAGCAACGATTCAAGCATCGCAGCGGAGATCTCTTTGTGCTCAAGGAAATTAAGGAATTTGTTCCTCCACATTTGGTATTCTCCTTTCCTGAGACTAGGAGGGGTACTGCTGTTCCCTTGCGCATTGAATTCTGAGGCCATTGCTGTATTAAACTGACCGTTCGAGATAATTGATCAGAAGATTTTCAGAGGCAGAATGTCGAAAAATCAGATGTCGAGATCTGAATATCGAGATCTTGAGATTTCGATAAAGGAGGCCCGGTATCGAGATTTGAGCTCGAGATTGAGATCTCGAGATTAAGGATCTCGAGATTTCAAATTTCGAGAAGATGATCTCGAGATTTGAAATGTCGAGAAGTTAAAAACTCGAAATCTTATTTCGAGATGTCAAATGTCGAGACCAGATGTCGAAAGCTTAACTCGAAATCTTGATCTCGAAATCCTAGATGTCGAAATCCTCAATGTCGAAATCCTGCAAACTGTAAAATTCAGATAAGCAAAATCTGAAGGTAGTTTCCTGTAGAGTAGGATGTCGAGATCCTCAGGAAAAATTTTCAGCTCGAAAAACGTAGCAGAACCTGTTGAAAAACTAGATGTCGACAAGGCCTACTCGAAATATCTCAAGTACAGAATATGCGTAAAACAAAATATGAAGTATACCCCTTGATCGCTTTGAAACAACGATTCTAAGGGTGTAACTTTTACAACTTTTGAACAAGAAACAAGATTACAGAGTAAAATATCGACAGTAAGAACAACGTAAAGAAAAACAGAGTCTTCTGCAGGCGTTCTTCTGATCGGCTCTCGATCGACTCTGATACCAATTGATAGTCCCTGTTTCTGTAACAGCAATGAATAACGATCTAACAACGAAGATTAAACGTAAGGATGAACACAGATTGAATCAATGTAAAACCCTCTTTGATAGACCGTGAACTCGTACAACAGAAAGATATGCGTGTAAGGCTTTAGAGAATAAGTACGACGTTAACCTAATCCTAAACCCTCGGCTCCCTTTTGATAGGCGAGGTTTAGGTTAGGCGTACAAAGCTTTTAGCCTGGTTATATGGGCCTAACACTTGGCCCAAGTGCTATCTAATTCATGCACTAATTAAATACAAGGATTAATACCAAAGCTAATCTATGACAAACTTGATTCACAATTAAAATATCTCCAACAAGTATTTCTTTAAATTGTACATTATAAAATATTGTAGGTTTCGATCAATTGAATGTTCGCCTTTAAATTAATACTGAGCACATTAGAAATTAGTTTTATGTTAAACTCAAGTTGATACAATGCTTGAAAGAAATGAACATGCACAAATGAACTTTTGAATTTTTGAAAACTCATTTTGTAAGTTATGTATATCCATTTAGTAGCTCTGTTATGATCATTTTAAAATATTATATTAATGCATATTTCAAAAGTCTCAAATTACATTAGATTTACAAAGAAGTTGATTATAGACACGAGACCACAAATCATGATATTCAACCGCACAATTCTAATACTCAATAACGGAGGTTCGATGCTCACTGAAAATATTTTGATGCTCAACGAACAAAACTTACAATTTTCATCTCAATAGCAGATGTTTGGTGCTCAATTGAAATGTCGTGATGTTCAACTAACAAACCTTACGCTTTTCATATCAATGTGCACTTTGTAAGTTATGTATGCTCATTTGGTACTGATGTTATGCTCATTTTTAAAATGTCATATCAATGCATATTTCAAAAGTATCATATTGCATTAGACTCACATATTGAAATTATTAGGAGTGTATTATAGATATAATTTAATAAGTTTTTATAAAAGAAAAAATAAGAAAAAGAAAAAAGAATTAGAAGATATGAAGCACGAATCGTGAAACTCATTGTTAGCCTGTTAAATGCTCAATAAAATAGGTGAGATGCTCATTAAAATTACATTATTACTCATTTAGCGAAAGCCGTGATTTTTCGCTTAAATTACAAAAATCTCACCGAATTTTTTTTGACCTGTATTAATGGTTGGGCTGTCTTTCTTACTTGGGCCGGGTGTACGTACACCCGGATACACTATATACGTACTGCAATTTAATCAGTACGCCACATGAAATATTTAGTCCAGTTGGGATCGGGTTTTGGGTTGAGTTGGGATATCCCTTCGTGACAACGCTTATGGCGAGCACCAATTTTTGTGTGTAAACTCAATATGTTATGCAAGTAGCCATAATGTACCCTATTACCACAAATTATAATCAATTCATCCCGCAAAACTTAGTAATGCTAATTTGCACAATGAAATACAACAACAACATCCAAGACTTAGTCCCATAAGATATTGGGGTCGGCTAACATGAATTGATACATGATATCACCACCAAAAGGAAAAGAAAAGAAATAAAGATAAAAAAGATAAGCTATTATAAAAAGATAATATAAAAAGAGATGAATATACATAAAAATGATAAAATAAAAAGGATACGAATAATTCTTATATGTATAAGGATAAAAAACAAGGAAAAAAGATGGGGGAAAAGATGATACGAGATCACTCCTCCACAAGAATACCCGCCCTCCACTTAGCTCTCTCCAAAGTCATGCTTTCATCCAACCCCAGAAGAAGCATATCACTTCGAACTCCCCTAGCCCACGTCTGTTTGGGTCTTCCTCTCCCTCTCTTCTTTGCCTCTTCTCCACACATCTCAGCTCGTCTGACAGGTGCATCACTCGATCTTCTACGCACATGACCAAACCACTGTAGGCGCGACTCCCGCATCTTGTCTTCAATAGGTGCTACTCCCACCCTTTGTCTGATTGTCTCATTCCTCACGTGGTCCTTCCTAATATGCCCACACATCCAACGCAGCATGCGCATCTCTGCCACACTCATCTTTTGAATGTGACATTATTTCACCGCCCAACACTCTTGCACATGAAATAATAACGTAACAAATATGTGATAGAAACTTGTACAAAGAAAGAAGAAGTAATTATAACCACGTATTTATTAGTTTAAATGGAAATGATTACCTTTTTTAGGAATGCCGAAAAGTGGAAGTTGGCAAAGTTTTGTGCGACTCGGAGAATATTTCATTGCATGCAAATGTTTCATCTCTAAAACAGAGATAAATCAACCATATATTGAGTATATTGACTTTCATATTCTTAAAATGTTATGTACTTGGATTAATAATAAAAATAAAGCTTCTTCATCTTCAATATAGAAATATCACTTTCTAGTAGCTTCTAGAACATTACAGATCATTCATCATCAAAAACCTAATGCTACTCACTCGGATTGAAAACATATATGCAAATCTCAAGAAGTAATATGATTGTAATAGATGACACCTACCATCCATGATGCTCCTTATGTCCTCCATGATGCTCATTATGTCCTCCATGATTCTCATTCCTCATCGAAAACCTAATACTAGTCACCCGGATTGAAAACATACATGTAGATCTCAAGAAGCACTATCGCAATCTAGGATGATCTTCAAATCTAGTACTGTCCTGACAAGCTAACATGAGTTTTTACTACACAATTTATCCTCACTCGTGTGCACCCTATGAATCTTCTAGGGGGTTGCCATCCTAAGACTTCTCTCATGCGAGTATTCTTAACATGGAGTTCTTAGCGGATGAGATCCCTTAAAGTAAGTTGAACCTTGATGTTGTGAGTAGTTCTGCTAATCTCGTGCATTACAAAATATCTAGCCCTATATACTCCTAGTTGCATCCATAACATAGTATTTAGGTAATTCCAATGGCCCCACCTACAATGTGAGACAAAAATGGATACTTCAATAATCAATACATAGTACTACCTCCATCCCTTAAAACTTTGCCAAAGTTGACCGGCACGGAAAATAATAAAGTAAAAATTGTATGGTTGAGGTTTGTGCATAGAAGAGAGAAATAACATAAACCACAAAATAATTGATTAAAAGGGAAAGTGACAAAGTTTTTTGGGACGTCCAAAAAAGAAAAGATGGCAAAGTTTTAAGGGACGGAGGGAGTATATTATATTTGAATGTATGATCAAGCGGCATGTGACAGGACATACAATCAAACATCCACTAATTACATTCTTCATCAATTATATGTGTGTGTGTTTCTGTTAATGACATAAATGGCTCAATTAGAGTACGAGATATGCCTCCATCGGTTCTCATCCTCAATATAAAAACTACTCCATCCAAGTGAACTATCCCTGCTAAGCTAAGCTTATCATTAAAGTGTTGCTTTTATCTCACACTTTAAATCATGTGATAGGTAATGTTAAGAAAGGTTAGACTATTTTGTTACATTGAAGTGACAATGGTATTGCCTCATCTAGTTCCATAGCACATATCCAAGAAATGTTTCCTAAATATAATCCCAATAAAAACCTCAATTCAATTCCAAATAGATGCGTTGAAGAATATAGACTTTACAGTTATGGAATTGACAAAAAGTTGTTAAAAGGTATATACCGCAGCGTGAAGGTTACTTATTTGAGGCATGAGGTAGCATGAAAAGGCAAAGCCTAATAATGGAATTTTTGGAAAAAGATGAGAGGATTATAATAAAATTATTGAGCTTCTAGCGTTGAGAACTTACTGACTATAAAAATCCAACCATCATATGTTTATAGGGCACATGAATATCAAATTACTATCAATAGATTGTATGAGGATTTCTATGAATAAACCTATCAATTATAGAATGAAAAATGATTCTCATAATAAATTAGTGTATGATAGAGAAACCACCGATCCACATTGGGTATGACACAAGTTCCATCATGACAATTGTGGCTAAGGTGGGTCTTGATCCTTGAGTTGCACTAGACATCTCTCAACTTTCAATTAAAAGTTGTTGTGACAATTTTTATCAATGTGAACCTCGCGCTTTACTAGGCACTGGTGACCACATAAAGGGCCCTTACGATTTCAAGGAAACGCATCGAGGTTAAATAGATTTTTCTTGTTTCAAATTACATCTTTGCTACTCATCTGAATGGAAGAAATTTCATACTTCTTCTCAGGATTTAGGATTCATTATCCCCTTGATCTCGAGATAAAAACACAACCTAAGGGCTAAAACATTTTAGCGTCACTTGATGTTATTTTCACTTTCTTGATAAAGCAAAATTTAATCAACTTTCTAGCCAAAAGGTTGTGACTAAGGGCTAGATCCTTTGGATGAAAAAATTGATAGGATAAAAATGATACTGACTATGGTGGAGATTAATAGTAATGGTACATAGTTGACGGAGGTGGATGTTTGGGACAATGACAATTGTTGCTCGATTGGCCATACATACATGTACGAAATATATATATATATATATATATATATATATATATATATATATAGGGTGCGGTTCCAATGAGAACGGTGCTTAACGTGAGAACGTGAGAACACTCACAATTAACCCAATGTGATACACAATAGAGCCCGTCTGGTGCACATTTTCACTTTGCTCCAAATAAGCCAATATAAATAATGACGGTGGCATTTTGGTAAATACTATGTCGAACACGAAAATGTGCATTGGATGAGCCTCATTGTGCATCACATTTTGGTAAATACTATGTTGAACACGAAAATGTGCATTGGATGAGACTCATATATATAGAGAATGGTTCCAGTGAGAAAGGACTCCCAGGAGAGAAATGAGAATGAATCTGGACCGTTGGATTGTATTATGTGAAATTGATTTGTGCATTTGGTAAAACTAAAATGTTAAATGTGCACAGTGAAAAATAAAACTTAAATGTGCATTACATGAAATTGAAATGTGTGTAATAAAAGGCACAAAAATGCCATTGCATCCTAGTTTTTATTTTGCACGTTTCAGTTTCACGTAGTGTACTTTTCAGTTTTTCATAATGCACAATTTAGTTTCACATATAATACAATTATGCCTTACATTTTGTTCTGCACATTTCGATTTCACCTGATGCACATTTCAGTTTCACTTAATGCACATTCAATTTCACAGAATACAATCTAACGGTCCAAATTCATTCTCATTTCTCTCCTAAGATCATTTTCTCACTTGAACCAAATTCTATATATATAAATATATATATATATATATATATATATATATATATATATATATATATATATATATATATATGAGGAAGCGGTCCAGCCCAGCTGGTCGCCAACTCTCTCTCCCTTATGGGAGGTCTTGGGTTCGAAACTCAATGGAGTGAGTTTCAGCCTAGATACTCCAGGCTCCCCCCAGCCCCAGACGCCCCCTGGAGTTATATATATATATAGGGAAGAGTTCAAATAAAAAGACCTCTTCTCGTGCAAAGTGCGAAGATATGCACTTTTGCATCTTTCGCTTGCACTTTTGCGTGTTTCTGTTGCACTTTTTCGCGATAACGAAAAAGTGCAACATATTTACAAAATTGCCACCGCGATTTTGGTCGAATTTTGTGCAGTTTTGGCTCATTTTGAACCATTAGATGTGGAAACGAATGCACAAGATTCATTCTCACTTTGCATGAGAAGAGGTCTTTGTATTTGAACCATCCCCTATATGTATGTATATATATATATATATATATATATATATGGGTGAGATCACATACAAATCATGTTTAACTCACTACCCTACAAACTCAATAATATGCAACACTTTGAATTTCAACATGCAGTACAAATAATGTAATGATGCACTCTTTGAATTTCAATATGCAATACAAATAATGTAAATATGAAACTGCTATTTTATAGCTTGAATAATATGAAACACTTTGAACTTCAATGTGCAATACAAATAATGTAAAGATTGTTTGAATGGGAGGACTAGTTTGTATGTGATCCGACCCCTCCATATTTACATTATTTTTATTGCATATTGAAGTTCAAAGTGATGCATATTATTGAGTTTGTAGGTTAGTATTTTAAATATGGTTTGTATTTGATATCTTATATATATATATATATATATATATATATATATATATATATATATATAGATTTAGGTTCAAGTGAGAAAATCATCTTAGGAGAGAAAAAAGAATAAATCATAGCCATTAGATTAACAATTGTTTTCAAATTACCGTGAACATATGTAAATGGCCTTTTTGTCATTTCATCATTGCATTAATTACCTTTAAAATTATGATCCGGAATTGTTGGCACTACTTTGACCCTTTGGTAGTACGTTGATCACTTCCTTTGAAGTTTTTTATTCATTAATAATTTATTTCTTCTTTTGTGGTTTCTCTACTATTAGTTTATACTATATTATTGGTTTATTTTTCTTCAATGCTATGACATTACCCTCTTTTTTCCCTAATGGCGTGCTCTTTAGAAAGTAATAATTTTTTAAAAATATACGGAGTATTGTTTTATTTTGTGACAATATATATTTTTCAAAATATTTTTTTCCCAACTCTTTGATGATCATTTCCAATGTTGACAAAATTTTATATACATACGTTGAATTCATCATACGTTGTTTTAATTATTCTTGCACGTATCATACTTTGTCATGCACTTTAGTAGTTTTTAATTCTTTACTTTTCTTTATAGATAAGATGCAGTGTCAGGTGGAACAATTATGATCCATTTGGAAGCAAAAGTGCACTGAATTTTGTAAAAAGTGTCAATGTAAAGTTTCAAAAAATGTGATATAATAGTGCACTTATGATAATTGTTAGTTACACCATTGTATATTTATCTTTATTCTTATTAAAGTCATTTTTATTTAAAACATGTATATATGAAAGTGCACAAGTACATGAGTAAAGTGTAGGTTAATGTTAGATAATGTGCAATGAAATCATATAAAAGTGAACTTGACAACTGTGTAAATTATCTTAACTAACATGTCATTTCTATCTATATTTTTTACTTTGATGAATGGGGTCAGCTATCTAAACTACTAATAGTGCAAAAATATCCAAATATTCAAATTAATTGATGTTGCATAATGTTTCAAATAAAAGTGCAGCTATTTAACGTAGGAGTGCAAATAGACAACCCTAAGTTGATGAAACGAAAAATTAGTGCATGATTTGATTTGTTTTTTTAATCAAATTGGTGATCTGAATTTAATGTGAGAGTAGTCTAAATTTGTTAAGAATATTAAATAAAAGCATGTATGTATTATATTTTAATTATAATTGATTTCAAGCATATTAATTAGTTTTCAAATCCCAATATGTTTCCCAATTATGGTGGCACGTACATGACAGTTAGTTAGATGTTTTTACCATTGTGTCCTTTAATTAATGTTGACTTGCATGGTTACCTTATTTATTACAATAATGATCCGAAAGTCTTGCCCATTATTCTCTATTTTGGAAAATCGTAGGCCATTAGATTGGATTAGTTGATGGTTAGATATCATTCTTTTTTCTCTCCTAGGAGACCATTCTCGTCTGAACCCCCCCCCCCCCCCCCCCCCTATATATATATATATATATATATATATATATATATATATATATATATGTTCAAATGAGAATACAATCTTAGGAGAGAAATAAGAATAAATTAGGACCATTAGATCATCAACTAATTCTTCTGTGCTACTAACATGCCGTGAGGCTATTATGTCATTTTGTATGTGTATTAATTATGTTTAAAGATAAGTTCCTAAAATTTAGGCACTGCTTTAGCCATTTGGTGGTCCACTAATAACTTCCTTTTGAGTTTATTTGTT